TCTGGTGTTTAAGTAGTCTGTGTGATTTTACAGAGTTGATAAACGACATCCATTATCATACTTTGTTATTATTATTATTATTATCATTTTTAGTCGTAGTATTCATTCATCTCTGAGATTAGGAATGGAGCATATGACCCCAGCTGTACATCTTCATTGCACCTGGTTCCTTGATACCACTTTCAGATGGCCGCATAATTACCCCCACCTCAAGCTTTTTATTTCTTTTTCATCTTGTGATATCCTTAGTGTGAGATTTGGATGTCCATTCGTGTCCTATGAGATGGGGGATTGGGTGAGTGTGATGTCATTCGGCGGACTCTTCAGCGTATATTCAGTCCATCTCTAGGCTGTCTGCTGGTTCACTTCCTACCAGAGTTTCTCGTTGGACGAATCTTACTGGTCGATAATCTGATCTTTACTATGTAGTGACAACAGAAAATGATAGAATCTGGCGATGCTTTTAGTCTTCTATCAGGCTAAATATGGATTATAAATATATTTTTGATGATTTTGATCACAAGTTGGTAGAAATTAGAATTCATGGACTGGTTGCCATTGAGGAGTTGGATCCTAGGGGCTGAATGGTCGGTCTACTTAGCTTTGCCTTATAACCAGAAGGTCCTGGGTTCAAAACCCAGTGGGTGTGCACTATTGGTAAATTCCAAACCAGGCTAACAAAATGGCTTTCCATTACTCTCTGTGGTTGGTTTTCGCTGGTTCTCTAGTTAATATCAATCCGAGATCAAACTCAGTTGTTGAACAAGAATCACAGTAACTGCCTGATTAACGAATCATCGGTTGAGTTTACCACAATTCATTGAGAAATAGCACTCACAATAGTAGGAGACTGAAGTACATAGTGATGGAATAATAATAAAATGAGACATTTAAGTGAGTAATAGTGAAGATGGAATCAGAACTATCAATATGCACTGATGTAGATAGTTTTGAGCCAGTTCTAAGGTTCCTCTAGTTCAGGTGAACTACTACCTTCTTATGAGATTCATACTTAATGGAGTGATGTTATGTTTTCTTCTAACCAACGTGACTTTATCCTTCTTCAGCTAGAACTGCTTATCAAAAGAGATTGTAGCTAAGATATGCATATATGACACATTTTTGACCATCATTTATTTTGATTGGATGGAGGATTTCATTATGAGCTGACATCATTTAGAGAACCACTGGAAAACCTGGTAGAACTGGACAGATGTTTCATCCAGATTTGGGACTCTTCATCAAAACGCACTCACCGATGGGGTTCGAACCCAGGGCCTCCTGATTTTTAGGTGAGCTCGTAGACCATTCAGCCAGGCACAGGGGCACTATCCAATGGCTCATGAATTCTAACTTCTGCCAACTCATGACATAGTGCGACTATTTCGCACTGTCTTCTCCGACGATGAGTTACTGCCTCATCTTCAACCTGCTGTACCCTACTGGTCAAGAGCTCGAACCCCGGTGGCTGCATACCAGTGAAGAGTTCCAAACTAGGACGAAACAGCTGTTCAGTACTCTCAGGTTTTCCAATGGTTCTCTAACTGATGTCAGCTCATGATGAAATCCTGTAACCAACCAACCAAATCCCTACAAACCAATACTTGAATATCGATGAGATGCTCACTAGCGACTTGCCCTATTCAGGAGGCTAGTTAGCTGGGTTCTGGTGGGGAGTCGTAACAAGTAGGGTGCAGCAGGTCGGGTGTGAGGACAAATACTTGCCGAAAACATTGACTAGTAGTCGCGCTATATTGTGAATTGGTAGAAGTTAGAATTCATAGGCCATTGGTTTGCGAGCTCGCCTCGTGACCAGAAGGTCCTGGGTTCTAACGCCGGCAGTGGGATGGGTGCGTAATGATTAAGGAGTCCAAAACTAGGACAAAACAGCTGTCCAGTACTCCCAGGTTTTCCAGTGATTCTCTAATTGAAGTCAGCTCATGATGAAATCCGCCATACAATCAAACAAAATCCCTACAAAACCAACCATTACTTGAAAATATCATTTATTTTTTTTTGACTGCTACTCTAGCGATGTACTGCTTATTAAAACAGGTATAAGTATTATACCGTCCAGTGCTTCCACACTGCTAGTTCTACAGCCACTTACACTGCTTCCATCGTAATAGGAGAAGACAAGAGGCTTGGTAACAGAATGTTTATCTAGAATTTGATTTAAACATATAAGGAAATTGTGCGTATAATGTATTAAATTATCGTTTGCACAGATCTCTTGTGTTGTGCCACTTCTGCCCTTCCTTCGTAGTGTCTTTCTTTATCGTCTTTTCGTGTCTTCCATGTTTTTCCGCAATACCAGTTAATTTGCTCTCTTCGACATCAAATCTATCTCTCAGCTATTGGGTATTTTTGTGTGGTGATGAGGGTATGTTTATTTTTTTTATTTTACTTTTTTTGATTGGACACTAGTCAGTAACTAGGGTAATGTGTCTTTGGTGCAGACTGAATTCTGCCCCCTCAAGTTTGCAATGTTTCCAATCGAAAGTATCCAGTATAGTCCTACAGGAGGTCAATCGTGAGCCCGAATACCTCAGTGGTAAAATCTCTGACTCACTGTGACACTGGGTGACGTGAGTTCGAATCTCAGAAGAGAAATGAATTCCTTCAAGGCTGTTGCAGATACGCCTTGCTGATTGGTTGGTTAGTGCCAACTAACTAGCACGAAACCTAGATGGAAGGCTTCCTGTGGCCTATTGCCTTCAACCGTCTAATACCAGTGTCTGTTCATATACTACTAATAAATCTTGTCAGTAGTACATACCACACCACACCACTGCTACAACTATTACTTAATTGTACACAAGAATAAGTAGTGTTAGTTTATGCCACAAGAGCCTAGTAAATCTTTAGTGTGATGTTAAGTGTTTGAATTCTAAATCGACAGGAAGCCCTGAGCCAACGTTTCGCGCATTCTGTGACTCATCAGCAGTGTGTATCTTCAATATTGAAAGTGACTTATGAATGCTATAATATAAGAACCTAAGTCAGTCAAAGCTTCAGTTAGAGTCGTTACCATTGGGCTGTTCATTCCCATGACTGACCCGTAATACCAATAAGCACTAAACACACAAGACCGGCTACATTCCAACTAACCCCAACTACCTCAGTTTATAAACAATGAAATCTTCAGTCTGTTTAGCTCTAAATCATGCAGGACTGTCTAATGTACTGCCTGCAAACTCATCTTTTAGCGTTAGTGAATACATGACAAGACTTACACGTGAAAAATAAGAAATCTGTCTTCATCCAACGTGACTTTTAAGGCGATAATAATGCTGCAATAAGCGACAGAAGATTGTAAACTTCTTCAGCCATAGCCCATCCTGCAGCCAAATTGGTTCCCGTTTATCAAACAAAAAACTCTTTGGTGCAATCAAAAATTGATAAATACCCTTCCCATGTTAACTTTAATTGTGTACACAAATTTATGCGTATCTACAGGAGCATTTACGACACTGGGAGAACAGAAAGAAGAGCACATCTCAAATTCTTTGCTAATGTACCAAAAAATTTACGCTTCATTAGGACAAATGCGTACAATGCTACCACTAGTGGATATCTCATCAATTCAGATCATGAGGTGGACAAAGAGAAATCCTTCAAGATTATTAATAGACAATACAACTCAACTCTTCCCAAATTTGCCGAAGCAATAGCTATTAAATTTTTAAAACCTGACTTATGTGTTGAGAAAGGCTCACTCATTAGTTATTCCTTGCCTTGGTGACCCAGCGTCTTTTACCCTGCCCCCCGCACCACTAATTAGTCTTGACTGTGCAGCAACTCGATTTCCAATATATATATATATCCGACCATTAATTTTGTATGCTTTTATTTCGTTTGAACCTTGACCTCCTTCATAAGTCAAACAGGTGGAATTTCTGGACGTTATTTATTAACGTGTTTGTCTATGTTAGCAAAAATCATGGAGATTCTTACAAGTATGACAAAGTTCTGTGTACATTTACCTAATCAACCTTTAGGTAGTAAGCAGTTGAAGAGAACCCGATGACGAAATAGATTATGGCGTCATTTTATTCTACAGATACATCTATTGTTTTTGCTTTGTTTAAATGCGTAAAGGGGAATAAATGTTGAAATGAGTAGTGTTGATGGAATTATTGATTAGCACAGACTCAGTCTGTTGATGAGTGCCAATTAGAACGAAATCTTACATACGTAAGTAACGGTAATTAATGACCTATTTGAGATGAAGGTAATGTTTGGGAATATGAAGACAAGTTTTAAGTTATTTACCCTGCAGCCTTCAGGCACATATCTGTATTCGTCATCTTGTCAACTTGAATACAGTAATAATCCCAGGAACAATAGCTCTAGTAGTATGAATAATAAGCGTGCAGATGTCCTGTCCAGATATCTACTGGAGCATGCGTCAGGTTTAAACCTATTGCAATAAACTCTTCTTTTCTAAAAACTATGGAAGAGGTCCTCTCACTTAATCTTGAACCTTCACTTGAGTCCTTTAACGATTTCATAATAGAATCACCTTAAATGAACCTACTGTCCTGCATCATAACATCGTCTCTAGTTTAAAGAAAGGGGCAAAATTTGTTCCCTGTGCCTTCCTAGATTGTACATCTGCTTTTGACTCGGTACCTGGAGATATTTTATTAAGTAAACTTACTGTAACTCAAACTGACTGCATTCTTATTTCTCCGGAAGAAAGTAGTACACATTGTATGTAAGGGAAAGTCATCCGCTTCATTGCCTGTTGAGGCTGGCATCCCTCAAGGTGCTGTTCTTTCTCTTTTTCTGTTTTCTTTCTTCTTGCATGACTTGCCTCATTCTAATGATGAAATGAACTTTGTTAAGTATGTGGGCGGTCTGACTATTTCAGTATCTGTTAACTGTATCGACCATATTGTTTGAAACAAACTTACTGTTATTATTATTATTATTATCGTTAGTTGGTATTTTCAACCTAACTATTTCATCTGTTCTTTCGCTTTTTCAAACTGTAGGATTGTACAAAAAATGGTACTACAAAAACTGGAACGTATAGCTGTTTACTAATGGTTATACCATTGAGACGATTGCTCAGTTCTTACATAGTTACTACATATATTCCAGAAGTACTTATTGTTATGGTATCATGGTTAGGATTTTGGATTGATATCAAAGCTGTACCAGCTAGAGTAACACTGGGATTACTTACACTGCTCGGTCTGTTGACAGAAGTAAGTCTTGTTTTATTCATATTTTTTTTAAAATGATTTCCCGTTGATATATTTCCTCAAACTAATGGTCCGGGTTTTGATTCCCGGCTGATTCACTGTCAAACCTCCCTAAACCGATAATAATACCGGTGAAGAGGGAAGATTGAGCTCAAGCTTGAAGCCATATGTTCTACTGGGAACATAAAGGAATGAAATAAGCGTAATAAGTCAGTCTGGTTTTAGTGTTTTGGCCTACTTGAACTTAAAGTCTCGATATCACCTGGATGAATAACACTGGAGGATTTTTATTTTTATGGTGACTATCAGTCGAATTCAGGACGTGCCTACTTCAAGCTTATCAGATGGATGTCTCAATGGGAAGACCATTATCTCCTGGGAAACAGCCATATATTAACCTATATGATGGTCACTATAAGTGTCTTTACAACCCCTATAGATTTCAAAAGACACTTGAGAATGTATTAAAAAAAAAATTAAATTATTCAAATAACCAGTTGGTATATAGTCCTTTGATCAACTGTATTTGTGTGAATGATTATCGTTCGATTCTACTACTCAATTTCATAAATGCTGTTGTAAAATCGAATTTTAATAATACCTGTGATAGTGAGTGCGTACGTGTTGTAAAAGTATAAACGGATCTATCTTCTTTATAACATTTTTATTTCATCTCTCTTCGGCAGTCGATTAGTTTCATTCTTTCTTGACTGGTTAACCACTGTGTCTTGTAAAATTCTAATATTTGCTTTTAAGTAAACGTTTTATATCCATATTTCTGCCTTTGTAATTGCCTTAACGGTTGGTGGATAATATATTTTGCGTCGGTGGCACACAGTGGTTAGGACTCTGTCGCCGACCATCCACATGGTCCGATGTTCGATCCCCTGCCGACACACACCTGATATCTATGGTTGGCCTGCAAAATTCGGGCTATCGATATCACACGTTGAAAATTCCATTCATGTACCAAAAATACAGTGTGGAATCAAGCTGTAATCAAAAATATAAATTAAAATATATCAAATATAATGTTATTAATGACGAAGTTGCCTCCCTGAAGTTCTGATGTGAAGTTATGACCATTGGGGTTCACCTGGTCGAAAGTGAAGACAAATGTTAACAAGTGATGACATATTAGTTGGTGTCAGCCGAGCTTAAATCACGAATTGGTAGAAGTTAGAGTTCATGGACTGGTGGCCATTGAGGAATTGGATCCCAGTGGCTGAATGGTCAACGCGTTTGCTTGTCTTGTAACCGGAAAGTTGGAGACCTTGTAGTAGGGTGAGTGCATGCTTCTAATGAGTTCGAAAGCAAGCTGCCGACACAGCTGGAGTGATGGTGTTCAACTGTTCTCTAACTGATATCAATCCGTGATTAAACATGAGAATAACAGGTGACCAGTTTAACCTTTTATTCCCAAATGTCTGTCTAAATAATCGGATGAATTGAGTAATTTGTACACAACACATTTCTACAAGAGGTTGATGCATGACCTGAACGTTTTAGTGGCAAAACTATTCACTTCAAAACTGTACAACACTGCTTCTTATTATATGTGTACAGAAATGCTGATTTCCCCCAGTCTTTCAATTAAGTCTGTTGTCCTAGCTTCCCAGAATGCTTTTCAATACAGCTCATTCGGCTCTATACTTTTTATAATAAGCATAAAAATGTAATAGTGAAGAGAATATCAAATAAAATGAAGGAAATTTCTACAAAAAAATTAAGGATCATTCAAACCTTGGTGGCTAGGAGGGTAAGGAAAGCGTCTGAACAGACATTTTTTCTGATGCATGCATAGGTTAGTCTTCTCAATGTGGATTCCAGCTGCTAACCTTGGCAATATGTAACCGACGAACTCTTGAGGACTAGTCGGTATAATGGTAGGTGATTTTTTTTAAAGCCTTGTTAACATCAATCTTATGTTCTGTATCCATGAGATGAGACGGTATAGAACTATGTTTGTCCCTTACTGGACCCCGTAGAATGGTCTTCAGAAATCCGGTGATAAACATGCATAATTGTACGGCCTATGTAACTAGTGCACAAGGGCAGTCATATTGATAGATATACATGGTAAAGGCAAGATTAGTAAGTTTATGTCTAACTGCCATTCATAAAATACGGGTGGTTTGGAAGAGGCAGCGTATCTTCATAGGATTGAGTTCACTTTTTATCGCATTCCTTAACTAAGCGTTGTGTTATTATTTCATTGGTGTTATCACCAATGAAGTGAAGTCGTAAGAACAAGGTCTTCCTTTTTCGAACCTTTTGGTATTTTAGCATACCTTGACTTTTGATTAATATTCTTGTTGATGAGTTTCTGTAGTAATTTATTGTACTTGGAATATTAGTATTTCAAGATGACCGAATTACACGAATCCAAACAAAACACAGAGAGGGCAGAATTCAGGAATTTGTATTTAGCGGAATTATTATGCAATTCATATAAGAAACATATCAACAGTCAACAGTAAGTATTTTAAACAATACAGAGATAGAAATTGTCAATCACCACAGTTTCTCTGGATAACCTTTCTCATTCAATAACTGTTAAATAAATATTAAGCTCTTCATTAAGGTATGCATCATAGCAAAGTGAACTTGCTCTGTGGGTCAAACACTTTATCAGATTGCGTTTGTCTTTTAAAGGCATGAAGCTAAAAATATGAGTATACATACAGTCAATTGATGTAGGTTTTCTATATACAATTCTTCCTGTTATTGTACCGTCATCCTTCCTAGTCATTAGGAATTCTAGGAATCAAATACTAGAGTCTTTTTCTTTCTCGATGGTAAAATTTATTGCAGGATGAACATTGTTAAATTTATCCAGGATATTCTTTGTTTCAGGATTTCATCATTTTTTTTAATTTTATTTTTTTATTTTTTATTTTTGATTACAGCTTGATTCCACACTGTATTTTTGGTACAAGTGTGGAATTTTGCGTGGGTATCGGTAGCCCAAAATTCTTATGCCGACCATAGATATCAGGTGTGCGTCGACGTGGGTTCGAACCACGGACCATGTGCATGGTCGGCGAGAGCCCTAACCATTGTGCCACCGACAAACCATCATGAGCTGACATCAGTTAGAGAACCATTGGAAAACCAGCTGGGAGTACTGGACAGCTGTTTCGTCAGGCTAGTTTGGGACTCTTCATCAGTACGCACCCACCGGGATTCGAACCCAGGACCTTCCGGTTACAAGGCGAGCCAGCTCGTATACCGTTAAGCCACTGGGACCCGATCCAATGGTCCTTGAATTCTAACTTCTGCCAATTCACGACATTCTTTGTTTCATCCCCAATTTTTATCATCAAAAGTGTGCCATCCATATAAAGATGGTGTTCTTTGAGCTGTGTAGGTTCAGTTGCTAGGCTTTCATTCTGTTTCTAGACAACATCTTCATCTCAGACTTCAGTGTGAATCTACTGGTTGTCAGTTTGCATTATTATCGAGCATTATGATGACTTGAAACTTAACACATCAAAATCATCCACCTGAGGTACAAGTATTTTCCTTTTTCTGAAAACATGAACCGTAATAATTCTGTGAAGTACTATTAGCGATTATAAATTATTTAAATTAATCCTAGCGTGTTAAGAAAATCAAAACAAGATTTTCTTAAGACGCTGGGATTAATTTAAATAATTTTTTAATGAATCAATCTGACTCGGAGCTCAAATTATTCCAGGAAGTTCGTAACACCTACGGTCTGGAAACTAGTTTGCATGGATTTGATTGGTTAAAGGATTTCATCATGAGCTGACGTCGGTTAGAGGACCATTGGAAAACTTGAAATTACTGGACATCCAGCTGTTTCGTCCTAGTTTAAGACTCTTCACTAGTACGCACCTGTTCCACTGCCAGGGTTCGAATCCAGGACGTTCAGTTTACAAGGCGAGCTCGTAGACCATTGAACCACTAGGACCTTACCCAATTGTCGGTGAATTTCATCTTCTGCCATTTCACAATATAGCGTCACCACTAGCGAATGTCTTCGCTGATGATTCTTTGTCTTCACACCCACCCTGAGATGTGTTGAGCAAATTTATTGGTAAATTTTGATATTATTGTTATTGTTTTACCTCTTTGCTCACAGAATATTGGATGAATACATGTCTTGTGTTAGTGTTCCCTATGCTTATCTCCCAGTAATTGCATCATCTATAGAATTGCTGTTTCACAACTGATTATCGTTCAGTATGGTCTGTGACAATTTGGTGATACAATAATAGAATGCCTGCTAGCCACGTGGAAGGTTTAGATTTGATTCTCCAGCCGACACCCTCCTAAACATAGTGTTTATTCTGTCGTAAGCTCAGAAAAGACCAGAAGAATATTTTAAATTTAAAGCCTTATGTTCCACCTGGAGCGTAAGCTATGAAAGTTACTAAAGTGACGGAGAGTTTAAAAATTGTCTCCTGGCTGTTTTCTGATCCTTTTCACCAATTTACAACCAATGTGTGATTTGAAATGATGTCTAGTAGATGACTATTTCTGGTGCTCACTTGGTGGGATCATAGAGGTGAACTGATAAATATTTTGTACTTAGTGAATAGTAATTCTCTAGATGGATTTCCTAACGTGCTGATACCAGTTCGTGAACCACCGAAAGCCCAGGACCTCTGGCAGCTGTCCCTTTCTACTATCAGACTCTTCATCAGAAGTTAGATTTCATCTGCCCCTGAACTTCCATACGACAGCTGCATGGTCAGTGAGCTCAACTCGTAATCAAAGGTTGTGTTGAGGAGTCCTAGTACGCGATGAAACACCTGATTGATACTTTTGTTAATGTGATCAAGCTTATTTTGACGTCAATTAAATCTACACAAGCCAAATGCATGGAAGTAGTGTCGTAGTTGTAAACTACTGTCTTTATTTACAATGGAAACACATTTGTTACCAGTACAAACAAGCATTCACATGCTCTTTCATTCTAATTTAAGATTCTTTAGTGGTATTTACATCCTGCCCCGTATATATGATGGGGTAAAATGCCTGTGTTTGCCCCCTATATCATTAAATCTTTTAAACGGTATATTTGATATGCTTTTTTTTTTAACTAACCCTCTTTTCAAACTGATGATGAATAGCCTCTATTTCTTATTTATAGAGTAGCAGTGTCAGTTCACAGCTGCCCAAAGTAACTTATCTCAAAGCAATTGATGTCTGGTTAACCGTATGCCTGCTGTTTGTCGTCGCCGCTTTAGCTGAATTCGCCTATGCCTATATGATGGCGCCTAAAATTGAAGGCCATGAATGGGAACCAGAAGTCACAGATTTAGTTCAAGCCTTGTTAACTTCTTATACTGGAGAGGTTAGATGTTGTTGCTGTTATACAAAGAATACCTATCATAAGCCTGTTTTAAAAGTTAACAGTCAAAGATCCCGTTCCCATCAACCACAAACATCAACAGATAGTGTTGTGAAAAGATCAAATTTGAAGGTGAACAGAGGGACTGAATCTGATCCAGAGGTTTCAGTGAAATCGAAACGATCAACTAGAACAAGTCGATCAAAACATATCAAATCAAGTAAAGTACGCTGTACAGTCTGTGATTCTTATAAACCAGTATGTTGTACATGTCCAGCTTGTGCTCGACTCAAGTGTCCTGAAGCTCCTACAAGAAGGAAACCAACACAGGTAATAGTTCAAGTGTTCATCTTCTCTTCAAACTGGTAGAGATGCTTGCCTTATTATTTGCTTTCTTTCTGTATTTTACTTTTTTAAAAATAACCTATTCACACTGAATTAAGGACAAAACATTGTGAGTACGTTGTCATAATTTTTAAAATCGTTTTTAACTACTTATAAGAATTTAGAGTAGCTGAATAGTTTTATTAAAAAAGATAAGGCAAGGGATTGAGCATGTTGACATATCCAAGATCGCTTGTGTTCCTAAAATTACACTTTCGTGGAGCGATATTATTAGTGGAACTTTAACGTATGGCTTAAAGAATATCGTGAGAATGGTATACAGTGGAACAGAATTTCGCGGTCTCTTTCATATATTTCTACCGGTATAAATGTTCCTGTCGGGTATAGAATTAGCTGTAATTATTGTCGAGTTTCAGAACACCAGTTCAGCCTGCATATTTAGGCTAGGAGAATACAAAGATTCGGCATTGTAGTCCACACTAACTATCTAAGAGTAATTAAAAATTTACCCTGATGAAGTGTGTCCTGTTCTTTTATGACAATACTACAGGCTTGACTGATAGAATCTATTCGTCATTAACACTGAGGGGTAAACATATGAGACCGTTTAAACCACAGTCCTATGCGAGGTAAATTATGGGTCAAAATAGCTCAATGGTACTGTCTATGAATGCAGCGCTGTGTGATGTGAATTCCACACCTCGATTTGGCTGGCAAACAAACATTTGGTTGGTCTGAGTAGTATGCAGCTACTACTCATTTCAATCAATCAGTAGTATGTAATTTTATGCAAATATTATTTATGGTATCAAGCAGATCACACGCTTAACGTGACCGATGATTGATTTTATTTACTAATTTCATTTCGCTTTTTTATTAAATAGGTTAAAATATCCACCAGGTCAGGTAAACATGAACCAAACAAATCAGTGAAATATGAAAAACAGAAACAACAACAACCACACCAACAGCACCAACACCAAGAAATCGATTTGTCTACACCAGCAAATACACTGAAAAAGCGTAAACCTGTTAAACGTGGACATTCTCATCAATCAGTGAAGACTACAGATTCCTGTCGTGTACTGATTGAACCACTGTATAAAGAAGTATTATCACTGGATAAACAGCCGAAGAAATCAGCACTGAAGGTGAAATCACAACTTCCATCGTTGAAATGTGAGTATACACCAGGAAAAGAATTGAAAACCACATTTTTAGATAGCAGTAATAATAATAATAATGGTAATAAAACTAAACAAGAATCATTCACTTCCGTAAATCACAATCATAATCATCAAGATATTCAAAGCAAAGAGAGATTATGGCATTTAAGACGATCACTGAATGAATGTTTTTGTTTAAACAATACCAGTCATCACCAGCATGATCATACTACTACTACTAATACGAGTAGTACTCAACAGTTAAAAATCGATATTACTAGGCGATTGAATTCAATGAAATCCGCTCCTCCATATGAATCTTCAATAGATGCCTACAGTCGATTGATATTTCCAATTGCATTTTGTCTATTTATGTGTATTTATTGGTTTATATATCTTCTTTTAACTAATGATTAGGGTATAGGCACACTCATACACACATACACACACCCACTCACTCACCTACCCAACCACGCACACACATCCACACACACACACGCAAACACTATGATGGCGATTAATCAAAAAAAGACTTTGGATTTTCCCCCAAATAATTAATAAAATAACCCACCACATAGTTATTACAAATTTGTCTTTCAAATAATAACAAAAAGGTACTAGCTCATTTTATCTATACAATATATACATATATATATAAGTAGTATATGTAAGCATGAAGAAATTTATGCGCTATTTCACTTATAGCTCAGTCAGTTAGTTAGAATACTGAGGGGGGTAAAAGGTGACTATCTATGCATCTCTGTGTGTCACTTACCTTCTCAACTTCCTTCAGCTATCGGCGATCTACAACGAGGCTTGTCTTCATCTTCTTTATCTAAGATTTTGTACAAATCGCGGACGTACCCACACAGACACACACATGCACACACACTACATACATGTACACATCCAGGCATAAACATAACAACATACAACCACATACAGAAGTATATACATATATATACCTATATACACTATACATATAATGAACAGCATTCATTCCTACCTATTGCTCTCATTTTGGATATAATATTGATGCAATAATCATTGAGAATAATAGTTATGGTGATGGTGAACTGATTAACTTGTATGACATAACAAAAAGGTTTTATGAATATTATTACTACTATTACTGCGACTACAACAATTGGTTTAGTATTTTTTAGAAATAATTTCGTTTTTTTTCTTTTTTATCCCCTGAAAAATGATGTCTTCTTGTTAGTAATTGTTTGGCATTCTTTCTTTACTGATATTTTTTCAAGGGGATTAAGGATATAAGTGAATGGGTATGTATGTGTGAATCTGGGTGTTTCTTTCTCCCTGAGGAGGGGGGGGGCGCAGTGTTGAGCATACGTTAAGTTTCGTCTTAATTGGTACTGTAACGACAAAAGACAAGGGCTAGGAAACAGATCGTTTATTGAGAAAATTAAGCGATATTTATTGATTTTTTATGTACATTATTACTAGCATTATTGTTAGCAGAGAAGCAACGTCTTCTGATTGGTCGTTTTTTTGCTCAAGGTTGTTTTGTCATATCTTTGTGGCCGTTTCTTAGAAAGTCAGGCTGTGATTGGTTGGTGACTTTCTCAAGGTTAAGCTTTATTATTGTATTTTTTTCGTAAACATTGACATAAACTGTTGCCTACAATTTCGACTTGTCGACAGCTCTCACTACCGCAGTACTAGTTAGGAAGACGAGTCATGGCGAAGAATTCATGTTGTCTGTGAGAATGAAACTTGTTTTAGTGTTAAAGTAAATTAGAGGATTGTGGATAGCAGTGTAGATGGAATCCAGGATAACGCGCATTTCGTCCTATTTGGGACTGACTCATCAGCTACTTGGTGCACCTGTATTTTACCTCTAGTGAGTCAGTGATGGTGTCCCCCCACCCCTGAGGCTCAAACCCAGTGTTGAAGAGTTTCAAACGGAAAAGCGTTAACTACTAGACCGCTTGGACAATGACAGTCACCTCTTGTGCAATAGGTATTGGTTATCATTTAGTTGGATTTAGATTTTCCTGATGAATGATTGGATTGAAATGCATGTTTAGGTCAACACTGATACCACTATAGGATTCAATGGTCTGTGTGTGTATGTATGTGTATAGTACACGCTTGATAGATGAACTTCGATATATTCTGGGAACTAGACAGTCAGGCTAGTTGTCAGTCACATTTGTCGGACAGTTGATGCTTGTGTATGTGTGTGTGAAATAGTCGGTTATTCCCTTTATTGCATGGAGGATTTAATCATGAGCTGACATTAGTTAGAGAACCACTGGAAAACCTGGAAGTACTGGACAGCGGTTTCGTTCTAGTTTGGGACTCTTCAGCAATACGCACCCAACGGGATTCGAGCCCAGGACCTTCTGGTTACAAGGCGAGCTCGTAGACCATTGAGCCACTGGGACCCAATCCAATGGTCCTTAAATTCTAACTTCTGCCAATTCACGACATAGCGCGACCATTTCGCAATGTCTTCTTCGATGAGTTACTGCCTCATCTTCAACCTGCTGTACCCTACTGGTCACGGCTTCCCACTAGAACCTCAGGTTAACTGCCTGAATAGGGCCAGTCACTAGTGAGCATCAGATTAATTTTCAAGTATTGGTTTTGTAGGGATTTTGTTTGATTGCATGGAGGATTTAATCATGAGCTGACATCAGTTAGAGAACCACTGGAAAACCTGGGAGTGCTGGACAACTGTTTCGTCCTACTTTGGGACTCTTCAGCAGTACGCACCCGCCTTTATGTTGGTACTAACTTGCTTACTATGTATAACGATCAAATTTATTGGGTTATATGATCTGAACTCAAGAAACCGATCTCTGAGTTCTAGTTTATGTCAGACAGAACTTCGTTGAGATACGCGCTATCACGAAATGTTCCAAACGCAGGGAAAAGACGATCATTCTTCAATATATCAACGGTTCTGTTAAAACACAACAATAAGAATAACATCAAAACTCAGATTTATGTCAACACTGATGTCAAACAGCTGCTATACAGGCAGCCATTATAGGTTTCTGATTACAAAACAAGCGCTGTAAGATAAAATCAGTTGACCAAAGTTCAACTGTAAAAGGTGCCTTAGAACCGAGGAGGAGCAGGAGGAGGGGGAAGAGAATATTCCCCAGAAGGTGGACACCATAAAACCTCTATTCACAAGAATCAGACACGAATGCTTCCTGCATACAATCAGTTCCCGCGGTCAGAATCACCTTCATTTCACTCAAACAAACTCGTGTCGTTAAACAAAACATTGTCAGTGTACACACACATCCATAAAGATTAGTATTAAAATTAATGATTCAATTAGGCAAGACAAAGGCAAATGATAAAGGTTAAAAATCAACATGTGATATGCAGATGTCAAATTTACCTGTTTATACAGATGGATAAATCGATAAAAGTTCAATAGACCAGCGTGAAACAGAAAGTTAGATAAAGTACATTCGGAAGCAATACTAGTTTTCAGGTATTGGTTTTGTAGGGATTTGCTTGATTAGTTGAAGGAATTTATCATAAGCTGATATCGGTTAGAGAACCGTTGGAAAACCTAGGAGTACTGGACAACCAGTTGTTTCGTCCTAGTCCAGGACTCCTCATTAGTACGCACCCACCCCACTGCCAGGGTTCTAACCCAGGACCTTCTGGTTACAAGGCTAGGGAACTTCTAGACCATTAAGCCACTGGGATATGATCCACTAGCCAGACAATGAATTCTAAATTCCGCCAAATCAGGACAGTCTGGGTGCCACTTTCCATATCTTCAGTATAGGCGTTGCATCATTCTGATTGCACGTGTGCGATGTTGAATCGGTAAACAAAGCTTCACTGATTAACCTCTCTGTCTCTCTCTACACCTAACTATATTACATTTTAATACTTAGGATTGTCAGTGAGGCTGGAATTATAGTGGTATTTAAATGAACCAACCAACCAACCAACTAACTCTCTCTGAGACTAACTTTATCGGCTTAAGCACCCGCCTGGGAGATCCAATTAAGAAAAATAATATTATTTATCAAATAATATGTAATGACCATTAGTGAGGTAAATTGCATAGGTCAAAGTAGTAGATTGGGGCGAATTAAATTACCCAATCACCATCAACGGGAAGGATTTGAAAGAGATTACTTCATTCACTTATCTAGCATTGAGCATTGTCTCAGCTACGGGCAATCGGAATGAACAAGGAAGTCAAATCGAGTGAGAATCGGGAAGGCGAGAAACACATTCATCAATCTGAAACCAATCTGGAAATCTTCGTCACTCCACTCAGCATCAACAACAAACTTCGGTAGGATTTTCAATACAAACCACGTCAAGTCAGTCAGCTGTTCTATACGGATCAGAAACTTGGCGGGTGGGTCACAAAGAATATTTCCAACAGCCTATTGCAGACCTTTATTTATACTGAAAATCAGATGGCCGGAAAGAATCACCAACAACCAACCAAACTATGGGAACAGAAAAAACAAGAACCAATCGCCAGCCAACAAATATGCAGGAGAAAGTGAATGGAGATGGATTGGACACTCGTTGAGGAGGCCGCCACTGGGTGACATCGCGCGCGCGTCAGGCCATTGCTCGAGTGGAACCAGGCCGAAAGGGAAGAGGCGAGTAGGATGTCCAAGGTTGACATGGAGGAGGTTGTGTGAAGAGGAGTCGAAACAGTATGGACTAACATGGATGCAGGTGAAAAGTACAGCAGAAGGAAGACAGAAGTGGCAAGTGGAGAGGTGCAGTTGAAGCCCTATGTTCCACTAGAAATCCAAGGAAACAATAATAATAATAATAATTATAGAATGATTGGCCCTACTAAGTTAAGTAACCTAGAAAAATGCTCAACCATTGCACTGCATTCACTTGTATGTAATCACACAATAAGTAGGATGTGACAGGTTGAGAGTATTAAAAGGTGATATAGTTAGACGGAGAGACAGAGAGGTTAATCAGTGAAGCTTTGTTTATCGATTCAACACCGCACACATGCAGTCGGAATGACGCGATGCCTATACCTGGATATATGAAAAGTGGTAACAGACAACCAAGGGAAGTTGGAGAGACAGAATAGAGAGAAAAATATGTATAAGATAAATCGCGAAAACGTGTGACTAAATTGATATGATTAAGCGTCATAACTTGTGCTGGAAACATCATGCAGTTGTTAAGACTGCATCACTGTGTGATGTTTAAAATAAACTTATCTTATATGGAATTACATTCTGCCACAGTGTCCAAGTTCTGCATCTACATTAGTTGAAACGTCTAAATATAAGTATAAATATTCTAAATAGATTGTCGAGGAGGGATTTTTCAAATAATTTGTTTATTACAACACTATGAAGGTTGAATGCTGTAGGGGTTGATCTTGCCAAAGTAGTCTAGACGTTAAGTGCTCTTTGGTATTC